CAAAGGGGAAGTGAATGTTAGAGTCGCTACATTCTGATTTGCTCCCAGATTCCTCCTTTATCGCTCACTGAACATCACCGCCCTGCCGCACCACAAACCCTGCCCACACGCGTGCCCACGTCGATGTGCTAACATTACGTTGGTGCTGATCTGTCTTTGTGTCGTAGTGTTGGCGTGTTTGGGATGAGAGATGATCAGGAGTGACCTTGTTGTACCAGAGACGACCACGTGAACACTATTTCATACATGTATACATACATACACTGAAGTACTATCACACGCTCGTATTTTCAACAACATGAACAATAAAACGACAATAATTTTTTTACGGGACATTGTGTTGTACAGTACAAGGTTAATACCACAAGGGCTACAATTGCTTTATAAAACGTGCTGATAAAAACAAACAACTACCAGGGATTCATTTGACCACAGCCTGGCAACGTATAAAAAAAATCGAGCACCGAGAGCGGATGTTAACTCTGGTCCGTTCAAGGCTACTGAACTGAACTAAACGAAACGCAAAAACTTAGCCGGACTACGACACCGCTGCCCAAGTTTTCTTCAAAAGCAGACAAGGTAACAAGAGAACAACACCGAGAGCGGCTATATACACTCGTTTGTTAAAGACTTTGGAGCTAAAGACGAAACTGAACTCGACAGCGACACCTATAGTAAGCTGACGCCAAGATGGCCACTCACAACAGCTCTCTACTGTCTGTACAAACGTGACACCTAAATAAAACACTCGTATCTGATCAGTATTGACCTACAGTTCACGAAAACATATGTGACAGAATGCAATTTCAAATTTGACATTACAAACACCCCGGCACAAATAATAACGAAGTTTAGTCACGGCAATAATACTAAACGAAGTAATGCCGTAATGGTTTACCTCCACAAAGTGAGCTACAAGATAACCTGTACAGATCCATAGCGTGGAATACTGAGTATGTAATTATACATCTCTTTTCCGGGTCAAAAGGATATATATGGCAAGTGAATAAGTGTGATATCATCAGCGGGTGTAGATCTATCATGATACACCACATTTAGGGACATAAACAGGCTGTAGTGGAGTCAATTATTTTGTTTTGTTTTTACCGTAAAAAATAAGAAATATTAAATTTGCACTTTACATTTTTGTTTTGATCCATTTCCTCAACGAAAATACAATTCCTGGGGGATGATTTTACATACATCAAATTCTGTTAGATTAGATCGACTTCCGAGCAAAGAACACTATCACAGAATTATGCGATAACAGACGTTTAACGGGAGCCACTGTATACCACCTTGACACGATCACCTATGACGTTCACCCTGCAACCATCGTCATTGTATCATCTAAGTTATAACACTAATATTAGCTCCCCCGTGTTGTCCCGTCTACTGTCGTGTTATTCACTACGTATATTTTTAGTCAGTTGATATCAGTTCGTCGAGTACTGTTGATACCTTCACTGTCCCTCGTCCGTCCCTCCACCTCCTTCAGGACTATCACTCACACTGCGCCCTTATCTAGTAGCTCCCCTCACTTACACTGCGTCCTTATCTAGCCGCTCCCCTCACTCACACTGCGTCCTTATCTAGCCGCTCCCCTCACTCACACTGCGCCTCCTTATCTAGCCGCTCCCCTCACTCACACTGCGTCCTTATCTAGCCGCTCCCCTCACTCACACTGCGTCCTTTATCTAGCCGCTCCCTCACTCACACTGCGTCCTTATCTAGCCGCTCCCCTCACTCACACTGCGTCCTTATAGCTGCGCGCCCTTATCTAGCCGCTCCCTCATTTACACTGAGCCCACATCTAGCCGCACCTCCCCACCTGCACCCTTATCTAGCCGCCCTTCCATCACAAGGCGCCCTTATCTAGCCGCACTGCGCCCTATCTAGCCACCTCACTCACACTGCGCCCTCCCTCAACACTGCGCCCTACGCCGCTCCCCTCACATCGCGCCCTTATCTAGACGCTCCCCCCTCACATCGCGCCCTTATCTAGACGCTCCCCCCTCACATCGCGCCCTTATCTAGCCGCCCCCTTCCACCGCAACGCACATAACAATCGCAACACACGGTAACATGGGAATCAAATAACGTATTAATACATTTAATTTATTCATATTTTTTTTTTTGGGAGATGCGGGTTTAACAACTTCCTAACATCAGTGAACGCTCAGACGCTGTTACAGTATCTAATCATTCTCCATAGAATAGCTGGAGAACGATATGTTAAAACTACCTGTACACTCTTAAGTACATTTTCACAACGCGGCTGAGGTCACATAGCCTCTCTCATTACATTAGTCGATATCTTAACCTTTGACCTTTCTTGACCAAATAACTAGGACACGTTTTGGGGGATGACTCGCCTGAAATCTACACATCAGTTTTCATTCATGTATTGTAAAGCGTTAACGAAAGGTCGGCCGGCATGACATTAACACCGAGACGGACATACTGAAGTATGTATGTGTGTAAGTATGGACACTAGTGATGACCTGGTGAGTGTAGTGTCCTCAGGTCAGTGCAATGTTACAGAGACGAGTGTATAAATGTACGGAATTTTTGAGGAAATAGTGTGCACATGTACTGTGACGCGTACGGTAGTTGTAGTGTGCACACGTACGGTGACACTAACGGAAGTAACGCGCACGTACATCGTGTGCAGCAACAATAACGGGCGTAACTCACGGGCACAATGTGGAGTGACCCGCCAACGGATGTCGAGTGTAATTAATGAAAACGAAGAACGAATACAGAGAGATAATGCGCGAGTAACAAGTGTAATGGGTGAGTAACGAGTGTAATGGGTGAGTAACGAGTGGAATGCTTGAGTAACAAATGTAATACGCGAGTGACAAGTATAATGAATAAGTAACAAGTGTAACGCGTAAGTAACGGTGTGCGAAGTGTGTGTGTGTGTGTGTGTGTGTGTGTGTGTGTGTGTGTGTGTGTGTGTGTGTGAATTATCAAAGGAACGAGATGAGTGGCGGGTGTTTGCCTGAGTGACAACCATATGTATAATTCGTGAGTTACCTGCATAATGCCTGAGTTACTTGTAATAATACGTGAACTGCGCGAATAAAGTCAATGAACATCTCGTGGAATCAGGGCATGAGTAAGGTGAATGTGCAGGACGTGAGTGAGTGACGCTTGAGTACCCAGCGTTGTTATACAAGTTTGAAGGATGCAGCTTGTGAGTGACGGATGAGTGCAACGCTTGAGTAACGAATCCAACAGCGAGGAGCAGATGCAGTGCGAATACGTGATCTGAGTTACGAATAGTTGGATGAGTGACGGGCGCGGGACATGAGTAACAAGAGATGAAGATCGTGTGTGATTGGAGGAGAGTAACGGAGATACATGAGTGACAGGTGGAAATGGTGAGTGACGTTAATAACACGTGAGTAACGAACATGAGGACAAAGAGTACATGACAGTGGGTATGTGACAGCACGTGACAGTGGGTTTATGGCAGGGCTCGTGACAGTATGTGGCAATGAATATAGGACAATAGCGTTACAGTGGGTTCATGACAGGGCACGTGACAGTGGGTTCATGACAGGGCAAGAGACAGTGGGTTCATAACATGGCTCATGACATTGGGTTCATGACAGGGAACGTGACAGTAGGTTCATGACATGGCTCATGACATTGGGTTCATGACAGGGCACGTGACAATGGGTGCATGACAAGGCACGTGACAGTGGGTTCATGACAGGGCGCGTGACAGTGGGTTCATGACAAGGCATGTGACAGTGGGTTCATGACAAGGCACGTGACAGTGGGTTCATGACAGGGCACGTGACAGTGAGTTCATGACAGGGCACGAGACAGTGGGTTTATGACAAGGCACGTGAGTGGGTTCATGACAAGGCACGAGACAGTGGGTTCATGACAGGGTACGTGAGCGTGGGCACATGACAAGGCACGTGACAGTGGGTACATCCTAGTCAATAGGTGACAATGTATGATAAGTGGGTAAGTGACGATGTAACATTTAATGCTTGATAGTAAGACTGGGACAAGTACTGCACGTGACAGAGGACTGACAGTGAGTGGGAATGTAACGGTGACCGAGTGAGTGGGAACATGACAATAATTGAGTGAGTGGGAACATGACAATAACTGGGTTAGTGGGAACATGACAATAACTGAGTGAGTGGGAACGTAACAGTGACTGAGTAACTGGGAATGTAAGTGACTGAATTAGTGGGAACGCAACGGTGAGTGATTGGGAACATAAAAGTGACTGAGTGACTGGGAATGTAACAGTAAGCGCGTATGTGCGTGCATGACAGTCAGTACAAGAGAGTGGATGCGTGACAATAAGTGAGTGAAGACGTGACAGCGGAGGCGTGACAGTAGAGTGACTCACCGCAGCGTTGTATGAGGTCACCAAGTCACAGAGAATCGTTAAATAAATGTTTCTCGTTGGCAAAGACTAAGAATGTCCTGTACTTGACTCGTTAGGTTATCCTGAAATAACATCATAACATTACACTCTACCTTATCTAGACCCATTCCCGTACAACACACAATAAACGTATGAGAATCTGTATTTAAAATCCACAACGTATGTAAACTTGATGATGGTATTTCTATTGTATATTGCCCGCGTACAACAACGGAGTCGCTTTTTGTTTCTTTGTAAAAAAAAAAAATATAAGTGTGTGTGTGTTCCGTCATTGACTGGTAATATTAAGGCAGAGAACTACGAGAAAAAAATGGTCAACACAATATGAGAGGTTGTAGTACTGCGTGTAGGGCCGCTAGGTGTGACTGTCTCGGCTGTTCGTAAAATTTAAATATTTAGATTTTTCGTTTAATTCGTTAAATATTCATATTCAGTTATCTATAACAAATATTGCGAACACGATATGCGATAATATCCGTACAGTGTTGGCGGGAATTTATAAGTCGCAGTGTGGTGTAGGAGACGTGAGGAGACCAACGTAGTGTAGTGTAGGAGACGTGAGGAGACTAGCACTTACCGTTAGCGGAGGGCGGAAGCATAGGTTTCTGGTCCCGATCGTTGTTGTTGTTGTTATTATTATTAATATTGTTGTTGTGGTGGTGGTGGTGAGGTGAGGGCGTATCGGAACGCTCGCCTCTGTCCTTCCATGAGCTGCTGTCACCTGGCGCGCCGGGCGGAGATCCTGGTGGGGGTGAGGAAGGCCATTAGTAACTGAACAGATTTTTACAAACACAAATTATCCGCCATTAATATTGACATGACTGAGCCCTTTGAGGAACCACCTAGTGTATAAACTTAATCTCAAGACAATGGTAAATTATCCCATACAAAATATACATGATTTCTAAAGGGTACATATCCGGGAGTGTCTATAGATGTGATGTATTTAGGTAATAGTAAAGATGTGATATAGTGTTAACAACATAGCGAAGATAAAAGAAATATTGACAACGTACAGACGAGGTTTTACACGGGGTTATCATTCTAGCACAGCACAGAATTTATCATCATAAATTAGGGGTTCAAAATGTATAATACAGCCTTGTCAACAAAATATCTTCAATACAGACTGAATTATTTGTTGCTATTCGCCATCACAAATATTTATCTGCCTCTCCTCTACCTTCACTCTCTATCTAGCTATCCATCTATTATTACTATTATCATCTTCCATTTATCAAACATTTTCTTAAATCTTAGACGTATCATTACATATTCATATTTTTTTTGTAGAGTCCAGCTTCTACCTGTCTGAAGTTCGCTATCTTATTCCTTGATTATTAAATATGTCAATATGTTCCTACCAGTCATAGTGCTCGGTGGTCGGTAATAGTCACCGGTCATTTCGGCACAAGACGATGACGTTAAATTGTTATTACTGTACTTCCAACAACTAAGGTCTTTAAGCGCGTAGCCAGTTTAGTAATGACTATTCCATCAACAATTAGGAATTATGAGAGATAGAACTCGAAACAAAATTCAGGATATGTGAACTAATGGATTCATTGCTTCAGCCTAACCTAACCGAAGAAACCTTGATACGATAATAATTTGTAGCGAAATGACCGAACGCCTCTCACGTTACCGTCTACTGTATGTATCACGGACATCTCTGATGGTAGGCCGCCGTGTTGCCGCTACACCATCAACATCCCGGTGGAAAATTTTCTATCTTTAACCCGTGTAACCAAAAACTCCTGTATACCTATGTCCTGTACACAAAATAAGCTTCCAAAGTCATGTTGTCATATTAATTGTAAACAAACTTTTTTTTTTTACTTTTGGAATATCACGTTAAAAATCACATCACTTCTCGGTCACCCCTGTTAGGCTGCCAGTAAACACGTTCTAACTTGTAATACTTTCATGGTGAACGTACACTAGCGTTCTTTACCGGGAACGAACGGCCAAACTCCAAGTGTCTTTTGTAATAAATTCTGATTATTTAACTTCAACTATCCTGTAGATTATTATTGATTAAATTTGGACATCTCCATCAGTAAACTGCTTGTGTTTAACTCATTACACTCTTCTTTGACTCTTAATCTTAATGTTAGTAAGTTTATTTTTCTTTACTTATAACGCTGTTGTAAACCTAATGTTGTCTTGGCTGCGTTCTACGATAGCCGAGAAGTTAAACCATTAAGATGACCCGTAAATAAACTTTTTTATTCTTTTAGTATAACATCTCAAGCCACAAACATCTCTAGCGGTATTACTACGACCCGCTGTACCCATGACCTGGTGTACTCACGATCTACTGTATTCACGACCTACCGTACTCACGACCCGCTGTACCCGCGACCTACTGTACTCCCGAACCTAAGTTATTGAGGCGTTAGTGTTTACGTCAAATTGTTATCTAATTTACCGTAACCCCTGAACATCGTCACCTGTCAGTCCATCAATGGTACTTACTTGTTTCGCCATTGTGGTGGTGTAGGCCCGGATGCAGGCCGGATTGTAGAAGGTACTGTCTCTGCACTGCCTGTAGCTGCTGCACGAGTTGTTGCTGTTGCGCCCCAAGCTGTGCAAGAGGTGTTGATACTTTACTCTGTGGGAGAACAAACAAGGAAGAGGGAATTAGTGCCAACCTTAGGAACAGATGTGTTTTTCCTTACTAGATATGGAGGAGACAGTTTTCTATACTGCACCTCACACACCAACACGCACGCACACACACACACACGCACGCACACACACACACCCCCACGATGACATTCTAAAACGCCTCTTGGGGAGAGACATGAGGGTAAAAAAAAAAAAGGTAGATTACGGTGTTGTTGTCTCGTGTTGACCTTAGACAGGGTAAAACCTATGATAGTCTCTTAACACTACATTAACCAGGCCATTAGTTTTTACTTGTTTGGTGTTACACTAGACGGGAGGGCCACAACAACGTGGTTTGGCCACATGAACGTATTCTCAAGCTTCACTATGGGCCACAACAACGTTCTTCAGTACTTCCTTGGATGGGGTAGATGTAAACTATTATTGTATAACCTCTCAACACACAGCTGGACCCGACTGTCACCATTATAGGCTGAGAACTTTAATGACCCATGTTTCTACGGGGTGTGAAAAGACCTATGGCCGTTTTATTAACGATTTGGGGAAAGAAACGTTAAGTTAGGTAAGGGTGAAGTTTCGTTAAGATTAGGTTTGAGAGAATGTGGGGTATATTAACGGAGTGCACTTGGATGAAAGGAACATCGTCAAGGTTGTTTTAGATCAATTTATGCGACAAAACAAAACAAAATTCCCATAATTTCTTTGTCTGACATCATAACAACGATGTTCCACTAATTTCTTGAACGACCTTAAGGAGAGATTCTTAAGACTCTCTCGTTCTGTGAAACTGAGATACATAAAGTATTCTAAGGTTCTCAATAGTCTCATATTTGTTCTCTAATGTATCTACGAAAGGGAGAACCAGAGATGTTTTCTAACTGTATAAGAGAACTGAAAACACCATCTATTCGATCTCTATCACGTCACACAGCGCTCCAGAAGACGACTCACCACACACACACGTCTCACTTAGTACTCAAGCTGACGGAAGGATAATCTAGTTCTCACAGTATTCTTCGATACCTGGGAGGGAGGGCGGGAGGATCACAACAGGACGATCTAGTGGTTTACAACATTCTATCGCTGTACATGATAGATTGACCAGATTACAGACGTTTATATCGCTGTATTTGACGGGTTCACCAGATTACAACATTCTATCGCTGTACATGATAGCTTGGCCAGATTACAGACGTTTATATCTCTGTATTTGACGGGTTCACCAGATTACAACATTCTATCGCTGTACATGATAGCTTGGCCAGATTACAGACGTTTATATCTCTGTATTTGACGGGTTCACCAGATTACAACATTCTATCGCTGTACATGATAGCTTGGCCAGATTACAGACGTTTATATCGCTGTATTTGACGGGTTCACCAGATTACAACATTCTATCGCTGTTCATGTTCTTATCGCTTAAGTAGACGGAAATTAGTTCAAATATGGCAAGATTTTGTTTCTTACTACTACTACTACTACTACTACTACGAGTACTTTTTACCAAACCATCTCCAATAAAAAACAACGCTATTTCGTAATTACATCAATTCATATATCGATAATACATGCACTGCCTATATATTTATTTTCTGAAATTTCAAACTTGTCCGTACAAATAATTGAACAACCATACACGACCACTCAAGATGACACCCGTAGTGTGACAGACAGTCGCGCCCGACACAGTGGTGGACCAGACAGGTTGGCGAGTAGCACAGGTGTACTGGTCACACTTACTGGTGCTTCACATTACTGACAGCAGCATTAGCACTACCTTTACTGTTTATCTACTATATGTATCTATGCATATATTATATTTTCGAAAGTTGAACTAAGATTAATGAGAGCATATATTTTGTGCTACACCAACAAACTTTGATAAATATAAACCAGATACAGTTAAGCATTTTTTTCTCTGCCGCGTCTTAACCCGAGTGTGAGGCAGCAAGACAGTAACAAAGTTCTCCGCCGTTCGTGGACAAACAACAACATGGCCTCGTCTCTCAGTGTTCCCAGAACCGAGGTTAAATGTTCTGGGAGGGAGGGAGGGAGGAGCGGGAGGGAGGGACGAAGGGGGAGGGGGGGGGAGAGACCATAGCAAAGTTGTCAAGTAATCCTCCCCGAGGCATGACCTAAACAACTTTCTCTAACGCTCTAGAAAATATAAACATTCTCAACTGCTCTACTACGTGGAATAAATAATGTTATGTAGCTTTACGCGGGACGGGAAAATGACGGGTTCGCCAACACCTCCCGGATTTATAGCGAGTGAGACAACACTACCCCCACCCCTCCCCCCAGCGGTGTTGAGGTATGAAGGTTGTCTGACTCTCCAGAAAACGGGATTAAAGTTTCAGTATTTGTTAGTGGTGTTAAGACGGGCATAATACTCTCACCCAGCAGTACATAGTGGAGCAAGGCCGTCTTAAGGGTTTACCACGCGGGAAGACCACGATGCTAGTGCTTCATCCGGCGATTATATTGATACAGATTTCTAAAACACTTTGGTGTGAAAAAAAAAAAATTTCCTAAAGCGCCACGTCGAAGATAACAACAAGTTTTTTATCAGCTTGAAGTAATACGTTAAAGCTTTAGAGTAGGGTGAGAGGGAGGACACAAGCACATGGAGCTTTTCCCGCGGGTCATCAAGCAGGCGGGAGGACCCTAGTACTTGGCGCTCCACCACGAAAATTGTCCCCAGGGGCTCCAGCGACCGGGAATAACACAACGTAACTCTCTATTACTCCAAGTGTCGTCCTCCAGCGCTCCACTGAGCTTCAAGTGACTACTGTACAGCCTTTGCGTAGCGCTTCCCTATGTTGGAAAAAATTGATAAAATTCCTTAATTTTTCTCGACGGAAGAAATGTCATCCCTCCTCAGCGCATTAAGAACATGACAACGTTTCTCAGAGTTCCTCAGCGCATTAAGAACATGACAACGTTTCTCAGAGTTCCTCAGCGCATTAAGAACATGACAACGTTTCTCAGCGCATTAAGAACATGACAACGTTTCTCAGAGTTCCTCAGCGCATTAAGAACATGACAACGTTTCTCAGAGTTCCTCAGCGCATTAAGAACATGACAACGTTTCTCAGAGTTCCTCAGCGCATAAAGAACATGACAACGTTTCTCAGAGTTCCTCAGCGCATTAAGAACATGACAACGTTTCTCAGAGTTCCTCAGCGCATTAAGAACATGAAACCGTTTCTCAGAGATCCTCAGCGCATTAAGAAAATGACACCGTTTCTCAGAGCTAATCAGCGCAGTAAGAACATGACACCGTTTCTCAGAGTTCCTTAGCGCAGTTAGAACATGACACCGTTTTCAGCGCTCTTCAGCGCAGATAGAACATGACGTTTCTCAGCGCTCCTCGGCGCAATTAGAACATGGCAACGTTTCTCAGCGCAGTAAGAACATGACGTTTCTCAGCGCAGTTAGAATATGACGTTTCTCAGCGGTTAGAATATGACGTTTCTCAGCGCTCCTCGGCGCAGTTAAAACATGACTACGTTTCTCAGCGCTCCTCAGCGCAGTTAGAACATAGCAACGTCTCACAGCGCCCATCAGCGCAATTAGAACATGACACGTTTCTCAGAGCTCCTCGGCGCAGTTAGAACATAGCGGTTTCTCAGCGCTCCTCGGCGCAGTTAGAACATGACAACGTTTCTCAGCAGTTAGAACATAACGTTTCTCAGCGCTCCTCAGTTTAGTAAGAACATGACAACGTTTCTCAGCGTTCCTCAGTTCAGTAAGAATGTGACAACGTTTCTCAGCGTTCCTCAGTTCAGTTAGAATGTGACAACGTTTCGCAGCGTTCCTCAGTTCAGTTAGAATGTGACAACGTTCCTCAGCTAAGTTGGAACATGATAATGCTTCTCTGTACTCGGATTTTTTTCAAAATTCTCACGTTTCTCAGCGCCAAACACTTGTGGCTGAACAAGTTGTCTGGTTAAACTAAATCCACGGAAATATTCCCCTTAGTATTGCCTTATCACAAAAATAATAATTATAATTCATTAAATAAGATACAATATTATATATATATAAACAGTACTGTACCGGTATATTAGTGTATAAAATAACCCTAAAGGTAACAAGATCCTCAATTCTTATAATTTAATTCATGAAAATAAAATAAAAATATATATGAATACAAGAAAACCACGAACAAAAGTTAGTGGACGAACAACAACCCCGCCAAGTTTGAGATAAATATTTAAGATAAGAGGGAGGAGAGTAGACCAGCGGTGAACAGGGGAGTGTCACCCAGCACGTCACCCACCGCTAAGACTCGATAGCGGACACTCATTGTAAATAAACAGAAAAGTATAGATATATCCACAAGAATAATACGCTATTTTTCATACAATAACAATCAATCATAAATATTATAAAGATAAGTATTAGGATCAAAATATTAAAAAAAATGTTTGTGCTATTTATGGATTAAATTTTAAATATACACCTGAATAATTGGCCAAAGACGAAAATTAAATTAATCTTTTTGTCAGTCCGCCATACAAGTGATACGTCAGTGCTGATAACGTCTATTATTACTCCAGGGAATATAACTATCAAGATGTATTTATGATAATTATTTATATTATTATTTACAGTAGCCGGGGTAAATGGTGTCGGGATTACCTTATCGTCATAACAAGCGGTCATTAGACAGGTAGCCGGGGAGGGGGGATTGGACTCGCTAACATAGCCGTGACCACCAGCCAATGAACGTCGCTTATTCTCCTGTGATATTGAGAGGTTAAGGTCAAGAGAACAGGCCATAGAGATGTATTATACTGAGCATTGATTGGCTGAGATAGTGGGGAGGAAACAATACTGCTCTCTGATTGATGGATGTTCAGAAAACATTATATATATATATATATATATATATATATATATATATATATATATATATATATATATATATATATATATACACTGTATATAGATTCGTTATATTTTTCCCAGGTGATCGTAATCAAACACTCAATTACTTTCGTTCAGGTCGGTGGTCTGTACCTCACTCATTACGGTGTCCAACTTCAGTGTTTATGTCAATTTATTTTTATCTTACGTGGGATGTTATCGACGTACTGTAAATATATTATTTATATAGACAATCAACGAGAAGTTAGTGGTATATTTCCGAGAGGAAGATGTTGCGGGTAAATATTTGCAACGCGAGATATTCATTTTAGTAATAGTTTCTTCACGGTGATTATATTAAGGCGATAATCACCAAGACACTAAGTAAATTATTAAACCATAAATACTCATCTTAACACATCATAATCTGGTCCTGTTGTATGGGCTACTTTTAACACGGTATAAGTACTAATAGGTAAATGGTGATTATAGTGTGTTGGTAGCGCGCCGACAGTCACGTTGTATCCACTACGTCCCCGTATAGAACAAGCCTCCCCCCATCGTGAATGAGCGTGTCATGTAGTGTAGGAGGCGCCACCGTGTAATGCGCTCACTGCTACTCTTATTACTGTCCTTGTCAATATTTTGAATATAACAGGTGGACAAGGTGATGGAACTAAATTAGACAAAACTAAATAGACGATGCGAAGGAACATATTCGTTTCTATGTATGTACAGGGTAGGTATGTGTATGTATGCATGTTTAATTTACAATCGGCGACGGCCCACTTAAACAACACACCATATCATACGCTATTAAAACCTTGGTCCAAAAGTGTGGTCTCCTGGTGGTGGGTGTTGGTACTGTATAAACACTCCCACTGAGAACAATGGATGGGTGAGCTCTGTTAGCCGATGGCAAGTTCCTGAGTAAGTACCGATTCCCACTACTCTTGGAAGAGCGTCTTCTACCCTGATGTGTCCTAAACCATCACTGTATAGAGCTTTGTAATACATAATGCTGTTTTTTTTTGTCCTTCATACACACTCGTCTCGCCCACAGCCACAGTGCGATACTTGTGCTCACTTTACCCCGCCAGATTTAATATTACCGCTAAAATTCACCCCCACCCCCTCCCGGCAAGTGAGGATCTCCAGCGAGTTTTTTTCTTTTCAATAGCATATAGTTGACCTCCCATTTCACCTATTACTGAATGATTATTTAATTTTACGGTTTTGGTGATTATTCAATAATTAGCAGAACCGCATCACACAGAGTGAGAACATAAATATTACATACGCCACACCGCTTTTACAGATTTGTCCGACCGCCTCAGTGTTGTGGTCTGGCTGAGTTGGTGATTAATGACCACTGTATTTATAAACTACATAAGAGTATCGCATTAGTTTTCTTTTAGGATTTGAATTTGTTCAACTTTGTAAGAAAATTTAAGTTCTTACAAGTTACCAGATGACCGCTGAGCAACCCCGTCTGGCCGTCTACCCTTGATTACTATTTACACCTGCTAAGAGTCGGGGGGGGAGGGGGGCTGTATTGTGTCTCACCTTGTCCGGCGTCTGCATAAGCTGCGTCTGTTGTATAAGGTTGACCTGCAGCTGCTCCTGAAGCTGCTGCAGGATCTGCTCCAGCTGTTTTCGACCCAACTCCGCCAGCTGCTGATGTTGCTGCTGCTGGGGAGAGATCACACCATTAGTGCCAGAGTAGAGGACGTCGGGCTTGGTTATACAATATATATATATATATATATATATATATATATATATATATATATATATATATATATATATATATATATATATATATGTGTGTGTGTGTGTGTGTGTGTGTGTGTGTGTGTGTATGTGTGTGTGTAAATTAATTGTATTAAAACTATTAAACAACAAATTTAATATTTATGGACATAATTAGCAACAATTGTTGCACAATAAATATATTTATGGGCAGCTTCTAGGGACTACCTCACCAGCCCTCAGTGTTGTGGCGCCCCTGTAACACCTGTATCAGGGGAAGGGGGGGTGGGGGGGGGCAGCGGAGGAAGCGTCCCTCAGCGCCATGATTACCTCCACACACCTCTAGCACGGGTGTGTACTAGACCTCCTTCATTACCATCTTATATTATTTTTACACCAATGAAGAAAATTACTATCGAATTATTTATAGTTTACAAGTAACTGATCTTTTGATTCATGTTATATCTGACTGTTGTAACTGACACACACACACGACTGTACTCTGGTGAACACAAAACAAAAAAAGGTTCCACTATTTTATTTTTACATGAATATTTGCCGATCATAAGCTTGAACATTAGAAACTGCGATAAACCAATACACAATAATTCAAATGACAATAATAATTATGATGAAAATATAGATCAATGGATGATGGTGATAAAGGCAGTAGTAGTTAATGCTGACTTTGAGCAGCTTTATAGCAGTACTCGACGGCCGGTGGCACGGCTGATAACACAGCGATAAGGCCAACAGCAAACTGACAACTCACTACGCTCTCGCCTCACTTTTTGAACCCAAGTTCTTGTGTGGCACCAACCAGCGTGTACCCTTTAGCTTATTAGCATGTATTGAGTGTTATAATACTTCTCCCGCGGTGGAATTGTGAGGAATATCGCACGTCCTCACTCACCGGGGCCAACTTGACTAATCAACGGTAGACTAAATTAGTAAAAATATTATTATTATTATTATTATTATAATTATACGTCTGAGTACACATAGAGGGAGTGTTAACTTACGTGAAAAAGATCCATGGGAGTTTCCAGTGCTAACATGAGGAAGATTATGGGAACAACGCCGGTCTTCAATACTCCTCCAAGACAAATTTTCAGCTTGGGGGAAGATAAATATTAATCTTCATCAATTTCTTGTTTGTTGAAGTCCGTTCCAAGGAAAATTAATGATGTGGTAAACGGCGAGGCTTGTATAAACTTTGGCGCACTAACTCCTGAACACAAATTTGGTGGCGGTCACAAGTCTGTGTTCTCTCTTCACCAACACCTCCGCTAGTACACACCTCTCTATCATCACCGGATATAATAGTTCATTAACACACTTCAAAATATATCGAAAAGATTTCAAAAGTTCATACGAGTACGAGAGTGGCTAGGTAAGGGTTGTGGGGTGCGAGGCGTGGTGGTGGGGTGCGAGGGCTCGCGCGGCTTGGGCGGCGACACGGTAAGAGCAGTACACGTCTGCCTCGCACTGAGGCCAGCGAGCTACTAGACTGGCTGGGAATAAACAGCTATGCAATAACTTCATCCCAGGCATCCTTACCCAGCTCACCCCCTCCCTCCCGTTCTCCCACCCAGTCCCCCCCCCCTTTACCCCTCACTCTAACCTCCACCACCACTACACCTCCTCCGTCTCCACCCTCTCCCCTCATCGTGATCTCGTCCCCCCACTCCCTTCCCCTTGCTGTCTTCCCTCCCTCATTTCGCCCGCAGAAAGGCAACTATTCCTGTCAAGCTTGATAGTTCGTTGTTTCAATGAATTTTATGAATCGTACGAGTCTAACTTGGTTTATTATACTGCGAGTGTCCGACGACGTTTCAACATGCCTATCTTGACTGGCAAAAAGCTAATTATATTGTAAAATAACACAAATAAAATCGCTGTATATTAGCCCGTAACTGGAGTCTCCCGCACAGAGCGTAACATTTCAACACGAGACGAAGCCCGTCGAGAAATCCCCGTAACTCTGGTATCGATCACCTTCCTCCTCCTCTTCCTCCACCTCCACCACACCTCCTCCTCATCCTCCTCGTTCTCACTCCTCCCGCAAAGGTTGGTGGGGGTGGAGAGAGGGGAGGGGCTTCCCCATCTGTACCCTTCTCCCTCTACACTACCCAACGTCCATCCTCCCCTCCTCCCCTCCTGCCTTGTATCTCTACACACGTGCGCCAGGAGTTTGATGTGACGTCACCCCCAACTTTCTGACACAACAGCAGTGTACACAGCCGCCAACAGATGGCTCTCACGATCACTCACTTCGGCGGCAACTTTCTGCCCACCAACATTTCTACCTTCATGATAATTAAGTCTAATTATCATGCCCAGTTTAATTAGAGACCTTTCAATAGGACATGTTTCTCAGGTGAATTTTCTTAATTGCACTTGACCAGCAAATATTATCAAGACTTGTAACACCTCCGTCAACTACCTCCGACGTCTGACGTGTTTTCATTATCCGCTCTTAGTTTAGTTATAGCTTTCCCTCCAGTGTTATTTTACCATTTTAAACAAGAGAAAAAAAATATAATGTTAAAAGTCAGGAAAATGACGGCCATCCTCTCTAATAAGTGGAAACGTTAATCCTATAAACACGACTCACAAATAACCATTCGAAATTTGATTTTCCTCGCGAAAAAAGCACTTCTAAGCCATTATCATCATTCACATCTGGCTCTGCCGGTTAGAATATGGGAATATATTTTTACCGTGTTTATCAGCTCACCAACAACACAATCCCTGTACTGAAACTTACAACTATGAGAGGAGGAACGCGTGGTGGGCGTTCTGCTCTCTCTGGCTGCAGCAGTACTCGTCGAAAGTTAACACAGATTGATATTACAACTCGATAAAACGAACACGATAATCCTAATTTATAAACAAGTCTTGAGTCATTAAGCGTCGTCCCGCAGCTTCATACAAGAGCGGTCTAGTACATAATAATGGGTTCACAAAGACGTGGTGAGCGTAGTAAAGGCGCCAGGGACGAGCAGGAGGCAGTAACTATGATGAGTTTTATATAATACCGTACAAATATGTCAGTATTACCAACATGGCAGGAAGGAATATGGCTTGCGGGACTGGTGTGTATGAAGCAATTGGAAGGTTAGTTTAGATACGCTGATATGGTCCTAGTACAGTTTAGGGACACCACGGTGCGTGTTTCCTGCATGTGATGCCGTCATGTTGTTCACCAGGAGGTGGAGGGAGGGGGGGGGAGGGGCATTTTCCCGCGTAACTTCACCAACTTTCCCTCGCCACGTGAAATAATTTCTCACCACTTGCTGACGATTTTGATTCTTCTTCTTCCTTTAGTAAACAATCCGTCTATCTTGTTCATCTTACGAAACAGGAGCTCTCTCCTCCTCCACCAGCCTAACTGTGTTTACTACCCAGTCCTCCACACCTTCATCAAGGACTTAGCACCTCACTCAACAACCTTGGCGTACTGTACAAGTGACTATTTACACACTACCTACCTGGTATATAATATCTTCCTGCCTCACTTCACTATCAATTTTCAAACTTTACTAACAATTTTATGTCGTAGATAGAGAAAGATTCACAAAATACAGAAACACTTTGCAACGCTCCACACTTTTACACAACACGGTAATAAGGGAGACAATACGTAGGAGGGTGTGAATGTCCTTTTGCCTTGCTTGGTGTATCGGTGTATTTCATAGTTCAGTTGATGACGTGCGCCTGACACAGCTAGTGGTGTGCGCGGGGACGACCTGAGGCGCTTGTTTGTGCCCACATCACTCCACAATCGATCGACTGGTGAACGGTTGAGGACGAGCTACTACTTGTCGCTTAAGTGACTGTGTCTCCGTGTGGCTCGCACCCCACCTAAGACCTCATCAGTGCGGTGCTCAGTCATGTTGGGAAAGGCTATTATCAGGACAAGGCTTCTTAGGTCAGGTTAGGTTAGTTTGCGATTAGGTTAGGTTAGTTTATGAATAGGTTAAGTTAGTTTATGATTAGGTTCGTTTAAGTTACGGGAAGGTTAAGTTAATCTAGTTTATGATTAGGTTAGATTGTGGTTAGGATAGGTTAGTTTAAATTACGATTAGGTTAGGTTAGGTTAGATTAGGTTAATTTCAGGTTAGGCTAGATTGCGTTAGTTTCAGGGTTACGTTAGATTAGGTAAGGTCATATATATTTTTTTTTTGGTTAGTTTAGGTTTTGTTTAAGTCAGGTTAATTTAAGTTAAGGATAGGTTAGGCTCAAACTACGAGTATTGTATTTATGTTGTTTTTACTTTATCCCACATGACCCGCAGCCATCACAACGCCTCGAACAGTGCAAGATACGGCTAGGTGTCTTATTTGACGCTAAAAGTAATGCAGTAGGTGGTCGGTGTTACAGTCACATATGGTAATTAATGACCCCTGGTTAAAGTGAGTACGGCTTAACTTATAGAGTGTAGAGAAGTGTGACAATAATAATAGAGAAAGAAAAAGAACCGTCGAAAAACTATGGTTAAATATTATTGTTTCTGAATGAGATTATTGATTGATTTTATACATTTATGATAATAATGATACGGGTAATAATAATATTAAAATTAATAATAAAATAATAATACAATTATTAATATTAATAAGAACAGTTATAATAATAGTTATAATAATAATAATAATAATAATAATAATAATAATAATAATAATAATAATAATAATAATAATAATAATTATATTAATAATTATTATTATTATTATTATCATTATTATTATTATATTAATAACAATAATAATAATGATAACAGTTATAATAATAATAATAATAATAATAATAATAATAATAATAATAATAATAATAATAATAATAATAATAATAATAATAGTAAAATATTAATAACAACAATAATAATACAACACGGGGTACTTGGAAAACAAAATGTATAATTAAGTAACCACAGAGATAATTTCACTGAATAGAAGTGAAATAAACAAGAGTGACTGGCTAGATTATTGACTGAGTTAACCGCACGGGGCCAGGGGAGAGAACGTCACTCAGTCAAGGTGCGGTAATAAACAAAATGTCAACTGTTTTCATATTGGCCTCCCAAAAAATCCTGCAAGCGTCTCCCGAACTCTGATTGGCTGATTCTTTCTTACATAAAAATAAGAATCTAATAAAAAGGGAACGTAAGACAGTGTGTTATCCGAAGACTGTACAACGATGACAGTATGAGACATCTGGTGCAGATGTAAGACATTGACTGTTGCGTTGAAAACTAACCACGAACACGTTACAATATATTCTTCAGGCGGCTAAAAAAAAATCAAAATTAACCTAATGATTAAATATAGTTCTATTTATGTTAAATTAAGAGTAGTTAGTTCATACTGTTTGTTTTCAATATATTAACAGATATTTTTATAAAAGTATTAAATAGCTTATCAATCATGTTCGTGGAGTTCCCAACATTGTAAATATTGGAGGTCACATGATCACACTATTGGTGACCGTGAAATTATCCAAATGAAAATTAGTTAAACCGAAAGACTAATAAAATATAAATATCTAAAATAAAAAATGAAGTTACTATATTCGCGGAGTGGCGGGTTAGCGGAGTGGTGGGCTGGCGGAAGTTTCTACTAAATACCGTCACCCCTACAGTTGTACTCGCAAGTTAACAGTACTTTACCTACCAGAACTATATCTAGCCAAGGACAAGAAAGAGTCTCTGTTAAAAATACGACCGTATGTATGTCTAGTCTCTTTCGTGTTAGTACAAAAAATAAAAATAAAATCTACAGCTTGGAAAAAAAAATCACGAAGGTTGACATTTAAAACAACCACCTCAAGGAAAATCTACCCTAAGTTCTTCGGCATAGGCTATAAGAGGTCTCAAAAATTTTTACACACACACACACACACACACACACACACACACACACACACACACACACACACTGCCCTACAGATTTTCGTAGAGTAGTTGTGAAAGTTTCTAGTACAACCGTAACATTGTCTTTGCTTGCGGTACACCTCGCACATATCAACAAGTGAGTGAAGACAATGTTGCTCTTGTACTAGAAACGTTCACACCTACTCTACGAAAATCTGTAAGTCGGTGTGTGTTTGTGTGTGTACAACTTTAGAGACAAGTTGCCCTATAGTTCATCATATATTGCCCGATATGTCATAATATATTGCCCTATGGTTCATAATATATTGCCCGGTGGTTCATATAACACCCAGCGGTCTATTGTCCCGTTGATGTGCAGATGGCTGTTTCACTCTCGTCTCTGTTATTGCCCTAAAACCATTGTTGTTTCACTCGCGGCTCTGTTATTGCCCTAAAACCATTACTGTTTCACTCGCGGCTCTGTTATTGCCCTAAAACCATTGCTGTTTCACTCGCAGCTCTGTTATTGCCCTAAAACCATTACTGTTTCACTCGCAGCTCTGTTATTGCCCTAAAACCATTGCTGTTTCACTCGCAGCTCTGTTATTGCCCTAAAACCATTGCTGTTTCAC